AATGTTTGATCCCAGGTATGGGAATTCTTTGACTATTTCTGTTTCTTCTTTGTTTACGTTGAACTTGTGAAGGTCTTCCTCGGTGGTCATTATTTTTGTTTTCTTGATGTTCAGCATTAAGCCTGCCTTTGCACTTTCTTCTTTGCTCTTCCTTAGGAGGTGTTCCAGGTCTGTGAGGTTTTCTGCTAGTATTATGGTGTCATCTGCATATCTTAGATTGTTGATATTCCTTCCTCCTATTTTCACTCCTCCCTCTTCCATGTCCAAGCCTACTTTCCTTACTATATGTTCTGCATACAAGTTGAACAGATAGAGTGATAAGATGCAGCCTTGTCTGACTTCTTTACCAATTGGGAACCATTCTGTTTCTCCATGTTCTGTTCTGACAGTAGCCTCTTGTCCTGAGTATAGATTCCTCATCAGGACTATCAGACGTGTTGGCACTCCTATCGTGTCTTTAAGGGCATTCCATAGCCTTTCATGATCTATGCCAGGGGTAGGCAACCTTTCCCCTTTAAGGGCCGAGGGACTTCAGCTCCCAGAAGCCTCAGCCATGTTGGCCAATAGTCCCATGTTGGCCAATAGCTCCTGGGATTCTGGGAGCTGAAGTCCTTCGGCCCTTAAAGGGGAAAGGTTGCCTACCCCTGATCTATGCTATCAAAGGCTATTGTAATTCCCATATACAACTGACTGTAACTTGTGACATAAACAACTAGCAAAATTATAATTATACCTTTAGATTACAAATAGCACAAGCACAGCCTAAATGTATTTATATTCATGCAATTAAAGCAAAAATTTGGTAAGGTGTCATCTTTTTAATTTTTTTTAAAAGTTAAAAAAATTAAAAACCTGAGGCCTCTCCTTTCTCTGCCCACTCATGCCTTTTCTTCTGCTGAGCTCCAAGGATTTAAAGAAATGCGGGCAAATGCTGCACTCATTTATGCACAAAAGCAGACATTTGGGGAGAAGTGGTGTCACACAACCCATACCTCTTAGCCCTTATCGGGTCCTCAAATGGCTTGGAAGGTTAAAACCAAGGGCTTGAATTTAGCTTGGAAGGCAAATGACAACCAGTGCAGAACTACTGGACATTCTTATGAAATGGGATCTTACCAGCTGGTCTCCATTTACTACAATGAGCCTCATTACTAGACACACGCTTGTAAAAATTCATGCATATGATTAAATATATTTTAGTCTACACTCTTGCCATACAATAAATGTGTTCCTCTTCAACAGGAAGAGGCAAAGACCTGGGGCCACATGCATATCCCCAAGGCTGTTTTTGCAAATCTCAACCCCTCCAGACCCCCTGGATTGCCCTTTGGTGAATTGTTCACCAGGAAGGCTCCAGTGATTCACCTTTTAAATAGGTTGCAGGGCACATTGTATTGTTTAACTTTTTATTTTTTTTAAGTACACATTTTTCAAAACCAGATGTGAACTTCAGGGCTTGAAGAGCATTTTTGGCAGTTCAAATGGCTCCCAGAGAGTCTCAGAACAGAAAATTGGCCCCTAGATTTGCTCTAATATAATTGGAGGTGTGAGATATTGATCTTGCACAGGCAAAGCATGGGTTCTACCACAGTTATAGCCTAGCAGATCTATGAGCAAGTACTTTGAGTAGTAGTTGCATACCATAGAATAACTGAAGAACCTAGTGCCTTCTGAGAGATATTTCTGAATAAGAGAGTATAGTGGACTGTGGGGATAGTGGACTGACTTTCCAAAGTCATCCAGTTAACAGGATCAAGCAAATTCTGATTTGTGGCCTTTGCTGTCCAAATATCAGCCCTGGAAGTTTGGGAAAATAGGATCAACAGGAGCCATGTCTTGATAGTAAAGTTTGTTCAAGAAACTTATTTCTGAGCATGATGAATGAGAGTAGTCCACTCCATTCTTTGATTATTTTCATGTGGTTTAATCATTATCATTGAAATTTTGTTGCTGGATTTTAACATCACAGCTGGCATTTAATTTAATTAAGGTGGAAGCTCGTAAGCTCCAAGCAACTCTGTCAATCAAAATGTGTATTCAACAAGCAGAATAGTAGAGCAAACCTATGCCCCGTTTTGGTTTGTTTCTGTCTTGAAAGTGTTTCTCACAAGTTCTCACTTTGCAAGTTTTGGCAATCTCTCAATAAAAACAGCACAATAAGGCCAGGATGAAGTCATTATACTTGACAAAGAAACTCGTGAAACTCTGACATTGGCAGCATTCTTTGTAATTATACAAGAGGAATAGACAAGCTTGATCCCTCCAAATGTATTGGACTTCGATTCATTGGCCAATTGGCTAATGCCCATTTGACTTTGGCTTATTGGTGGGTGTTGATGAGGTTGTAGTCCAAAGTATATGGAGGGCATCAGGTTGTTGCCTGCACCTATCACTGAATATTCTCATCTTTATCTGTTTATTAAGTATAGAAGAAAAATAGGACAATTGTGCCTGTCATCCTACATGGATCTCTTGAGGTTTTCACACATTCAGCTGTAGGGTCAAGGAAAGAGTTTGCTATCTCCTCCTCCTCCTCCTGCTTCCTTTTTTTTTTTCTTTTTGCACCATTTCCATGAATAATCCACATTCTAGAGGCTGTTTTATGGGCACCTATAAAAGCAATACTCTACCCTCCATCCAGCCAAAATAAAGGATGCTAGCCAAGCAAGACTGGGTTTACAGCCAAAGAACATGGTTGTACAAGAGGAAACCATAAAGTGATTGGCTGGGTTGCTCCTTGTTTTCTTAAGGAAGAGTTAAAGGTGGGGGAATAGTTGGGGTCAGTGCGGTCAGCCATCTGGGAAAACCTGTTGACTTCCTTCTATAAGAGTTTCCCCAATGCTGTTGTGATGGAGAAAATAAGAAGTTAAACAGATCTATAGAACTTCAGTTGTCCCAGCTGATTCCACCTCAAGGTTTAGCTGTGCTTCCTAGCCCTTCAAAGCACACACTATCTACTTTCCCCTGCTCTGATTTACTTCTGCAAGAAAATTCCTTGCAAGAAGCAGCATCTGTAACAACACACACATTGTCAATGTTTCACAAGGTGTGGATGAAGCAACCCAGGTGAAACAAGAACCTATGGGAGGGGGTCTTCCTAAGAGAATATGCATTTGGTGTGTGGTATTTTGAAATGTAATGAAAATATAGCTCTTGCTTTCCTCCCAATTTGTAGACTGTCTTCAGGTTCTGGCCTCAAACTCATCTCCCCAGAGACAGACTGTGGAAGCTGTAGCTGCTGAAAGCTGATTTTTCAAGTTGTATTCTTCACATGCTTGTGGGCTGTAGCAACTAATTTACATTTGAGGATTACCCAGAGGTAGTGAGCATTATGCACATATGAGATGTCCTTCACTGTCTAAAGCATATTGAGCAGCCTGTGGCACTCCAGATGTTGTTAAACTTCAGTTCTGCTCAGCCTTAGCCATTATAGCTGATAGTAAAGTATAGCTGATAGCAAAAGAACGAAGAGCCATATGAAGATGAACCCCAAATTCTAAAAAGTGAGGTGGAAACTGCAATAAGAGAAATAGCAAAAAAATAAAAAGCAAGGAACAAATGATATTCCAATTGAACTGCTGCAATCCACATTGACAGAGTCAACTCTGGTGCTAACCAAGATATGTCAACAAATATAGACAACAAAACAATGGCCAGCAGATTGGAAGCAATCAATATACATCCCCTTCCACAAAAAGGGAGATACAAGAGACTGCAGCAACTATAGAACCATAGCACTGATCTCCCATGCAAGCAAAATCATGCTCAAAATTCTGCAACATAGACTGCAATCATACATGGACAGAGAGATCCCAGAGGTCTAAGTAGGGTTTAGGAAAGGAAGAGGCACCAGGGATCACATTGCAAACATACGATGGCTA